GTCAGAAAAAGTTTTATTTCGCCTCGCTTCTTTTGGCCTACCAAAATTGGTATAGAATACCAATACACAAAACTTATCTTTGATGCAAAACGCTCACCAGCCAATGCCATCTTTGCTCTTCATCAAACAGCTGCAGATTACTGCGTAACAAAGACCAATAGTGCTCAACTATTGCATGCAAGCTTCTATATGAACATTTCTTTTCATCCATTTGGCACAAAAAACGAGGCTAAAAACTCTAGTACACTCTAAAACAGGGCGAGTTCAACCTGAGTAAGTTCGTATCTAAAGCCCATGACGTCATCTACTCCATGGATGGAGGTGAAAAATCGAACTCAAACGCAATTTTCTCTACAGTGGCAATGCTTTTCGACCCACTAAGTATCGTAGCGCCGTCATTGCTAAACAGTGCCCAGTGACTTTGTTTCAATAATCGTCAAATGGGTCGAGCAAGGCAAACAAAACCCCCAGGTGAGGCTACCGCGCTCACTTTCACCACAACTGTGACCTAGTGACATACAGCTTCATGTGTTCTGCAACGCGTCGTAAGACGCCATGGCTACGTGAATGTACTTCTGTACTGCTGGCACCTCTGGCATACAGGCTACTTTCATGATTGGCAGATTGAAGGTAGCTCCAATGATCCAAGAAAACACTATGAAAATAGATTACAAGCCACTCTTATGGGCGCAGGGTTCTTTAAATTTGCTACTGATGAAATGCGAATGAAATCAAGTCCACTCACTATTGGACAGATAACACAACAGTTTTGTCTTGGATAGCATCGCCTGGTAAACTGAACACTTACTGTTGCAGCAGAGTCGATGAGATATTTACTGCATGCAAAGCCGATCAATGGAAAAACATCCCTGGTTAACGCAACCCAGCAGACACCGCTACGCGGAGAAAGCAACTCAAAACGTAATCAAACTCTGGTTGGATGCATCAGAGTTTCTACACAACAATGAGGCTACTTGGGGGGATCAACGAGAAAATAGAACAAAGCAGCCCTACAACAGTTAACCCCCCAACTACTCAACCAATCTATTCTTCCCGGTTTTCAGACTGCTTTCACTTTAAATGGTCACCGCTCGCTTTATAGCTTTTATCGATATTTTGAAAGGAAACGGGAAATTTCCAACTACTATGAAAGGCCTGAAAAGGCCGAGCTTCTCTTTTGTCAATAATCCCAAGAAGAAATTTTTGTTGAGTTCTTCAAATATTTACGAACAAGCAGCAAAATGACAACAAATACGGAGTACAGCATTTATCTCCTTTTCTCGACAATGGCAGTGCGAAGACGACTACGAAACTCTCCCTTACCAGATACAAAAAGAATCCAATAAGCCTACACGCAAAGGAACTAATTGTGCGCAAGATGATCGAGAGCGCTCCTTGCCGTTGTATGCATGACGGCACAGAGTACATCTGCAAAAACGAATCAAATAATTTTGGTGGAAAAGATATTTGGCTGTTAATATTTCAAAGATAACTACTCAATGTAATGTTGATCTAATAGAACGAGTGTAGTTTTTATTCGCGCGAGTATTCAACATACATTATAAAATCAAAATATTTTTGTAATTAGATCAACATTATAAAATATCAAAAACTTTGAGACCCCTTAAAAACTTCGAATTTTATCTCATATCTACTCTTTTTAATGAATATTGTTTTTTTTTCTTTTAGCGTCATATCTATGGTATCCAATTTTATAAAATGTGTTGATTGGCTTAAAACAGTTCAAATTATGAGAAAAATCAAGCACACTTTCTCTAATCATAACTTCAATCATCAACCTAACAGTAGCAGTAGACTTAGTCTAAATAGCGAAATTTCTCAGACGAGCTTTATCAATACTGTCACAATTATTTCATTTATTTGATAGAATTGGAATCACAAATTGTGAATCATAGACCATTCTACAAATTACAACTGAGGTCTGAGGTACCTGTTAGGTTGTTCCAACAGGAGGCCTTTAAACAAGGGACCAGGTCGAGGTGCTCGACTTATTTTTCGACTTTGAAGTTCGGGTAAGTGCAGGTTTTCGACTGAAATTCTGCGCAATTTAAGTCAAGCAAAATGTCGAAATATACCAAATTTTGGCCGAAAGAGTCAAGCCATAGGTCAAGCGCAGTCGAAACAAACCCAGTTTTGATCAAGAAAGTAGAAAGATAAGTCGAGCACTGTTGAAAGATACCTGATTTTGGTCGAGAAAGTCAAAAAATAGATCTTCAAAATTTTCAAAATCTAAGGGTTCCTTTGACAAAAAATGTAATTTCTGCCATTTTTTTTTTCAAATTTTGTTTTAAAGATCAACAGATTTAGACCAGATTTGTTAAAGAAAGATGATTCACTTTGTAAAGTTAATTCGCGATGCAGGAAGTTTCCATTTTACAGTCATTTTTTTTTTTTCAATTTAAGCATCATCACAAAAAATTCAGCTGAAAAACATACTTTATACTATTATGATTTTTCTATAATATTATTTGGTGCCAGGAAAGTTCAAACTTACCAAAACTTCGTTAAAAACGTCGAAACATCCGAAAAATTGGTCGCGGCGGTCATAAAACACCAATTTTTTTTCAATTAAATTGAATTTTAAACCAATCATCTTGACCCGGGACTTATTACTGGAACACTTAAATTAGCTGGGAAACTTGGAGTTGAATTAGCTGGGAAACTTGGAGTTGAATTAGCTGGGAAACTTGGAGTTGAATTAGCTGGGAAACTTGGAAATTTGTTAGGAAATTTGGAGTTGAATTTTTCGGAAAATAAATAGATTCAGCCCTTTTTTTATTGTTTTGTTATTTTTTTCATACATAATTTTTTATAATCTTTTAATCCAGGCTGAATCTAGGTATTTGTAATGGATGATCAGCATTACGAAGCCAAAGTTGGCACTGCCTAGGCACACAATTAAATATGTCAAATTAAAAATTTCTGGATTGTAGGTTTGTGTATATGTAAGTCTTTAAACTTGTTAAAAGTTTTGCCGGAACAAAAGGCAAAAAACGAACGAAGAGAGTGCTCTTGCTGCGAGTTTCGCTTACAATCCACAAAATGCGCAGTTTGGCTTCGTAATGAGTTAATAGCAATTAATTCAACTACGTTTTGCATAGTATTCAGAATATGAATTTTAGAAACAGTTTTTTTTTGCCATTGCTACTTTCGAGTTTGTTGTTTTTATGCTTAAAAAGGCAGCTATGCTTTTTTTTGCTTGAATTATTAGCGTAACAAATAAAGAAGACGGGTCTCTGGCATATTTTCAATTGATCAGATTTTTTTGTTTGATTTGGCTTCATATTTTTCATAAAAGATCTTCGCAACTAATATTTTTATTTAAAATACTTGCTATGCCTTCTGCTTATGAAGAAAAAGTTAAAGGGTTATCATTGCAAAATTGCGTGTATTAAACAGTAACTTCAGAATTTTCATCCGAATGTCCTGTAGGTAACTAAATTTTTCTTCTGGTGAAACTAGTCTTGATTTCTCCAACAAAATTGATGTTATAATGGTTTCCTTCTCATCAAGATCATTAGTGAAAACCGGCTCTAAAAGTGGATGCAAAATTACCTTTGCAGAGCTCCAAATTCCCTGTGACTTGATTACAAATTTGAAGAAACTTTTGTTTTTTCTGTTTACCAAAAGTTTTTCTCATTCACAAAATCAGTATCAAGTAGTTTGTAATTTATTTTACCTGTATTACGAATTTGATGATGCCAAATTACTTGCTTAATTATATTTCTTTCGTACTGAGAGTCTGTGTTCACATGAGTCGCATTTGCATTTTAACGTTAGATAACGGGAAAAAAGCACTTAGTTTTAATCAGCAAGTTGGCTAAAATTTTAAACCCCTGAAATTTTTTAAAGTTACGATTTCCACAATATGGTGGAAAGTGAGGGGGTAAAAAAAGATCGAGAGCGCTCCTTGCCGTTGTATGCATGACGGCACAGAGTACATCTGCAAAAACGAATCAAATAATTTTGGTGGAAAAGTTATTTGGTTTTAATCAGCAAGTTTTAATCAGCAAAAAGCACTTAGTTTTAATCAGCAAGTTGGCTAAAATTTTAAACCCCTGAAATTTTTTAAAGTTACGATTTCCACAATATGGTGGAAAGTGAGGAGGTAAAAAAAGATAACGTCTCAAATGGCATAATTCCCAAACGGCATAAAACGAAAAAAATCTTCGCAAATGGCATAAACTCCATTCAACATTTGCATTGATTTTTTTCGAGGTAAGTTTGTTTGTGAACAATGTGTCTAAAGTAGTAAAGAAGCCAATACAATTACTGATTGAAATTTTTCCTTATAAAATTAACAGTTCTTCTCAAAAACCCGAGCTTGTTTTACTAATTAGTTAGTTGTGATCAATTTTTCCAGCTAAAATTTCACTCAACAACTGTTTGGAAGCTATTATTTCCAATTTTTTTTTCACATATTATTGTTCCTGATAACATAGAAAAATATTAGTTGATAGAAAGCCTTAGAGTTTCAGTAAAAAATTAAAATTTATGCCATTTGGAAAAAAACTTCAATTTTATGACATTTTGGAATTATGCCATTAGGGATAAAAAATTAACATTAAAATTTAATTGCCAAAAACTATTACTTCGATACTTTGTAATGAATTTACGCAAAACTCGGACTAATTGAAAGCCAACAAAATAAACTTTTTTACTTCAAGACGTCTATATGAAGTTTCATTGTAAATTTTGTGAAAAGGGTTTAGTAAGGTCACTAAATTTTGCCGAAGTATGTTTGTAATTTTCAGATCAGAAAACCAAAATTTTCCATAAAAACAACCGATCAAAAAGCGTAGTGCTGTTTGAATTATTAGAGTTATGCCTTAAGTGTCTTAGTTTTAATTTTCAAACTATTTTTTTTCAAAAGACACCGTTAGGAACGTACTCGGCCAAAAAACAACGGACAGACATGAGAGAGAAAAAGTTCTTAACTCAACTATGACTTTTCTCTTTTTAAATAATGAGCTATCGGATGTAAGAAACAACTATCTTATAATGAGTTTACATCAAATAATGATACCAAAAATAACATATATTTTGTATACTTTTTGAACTAAATTGGTTGCAACAAGTTTGTATCGCATTATATATATCTGGAGCAATCACAACTCGGCCAGTGAGTTTGGATTGGTGATGATCTGGCGGGTGAGTGCCCAGACTGCTTTGGCTGCTGAGTCCAGGGTGAGGGGGGAGTGGGGGGCGAACAGGTCCACAGAGGGGAGGAAGAAGTGGGGACATTTCCTGCATTGCAGACATGACAGCAGTTGCAACAGCACGCCTAAAAGGAAGGAAAAATAAAACAGGAAAACAAAACAAAAAGAAAAAAAGAAGAACAAGAAAGAATCAGTGGTAAATTTGAGTGCATGAAAATATGGAAAAACATTAAACCTAGATGAATGAAAAGAAAAAGGAAAAAAGAAAGAAAAAGGAACAAAAAGAATAGGTTGTAAATTTAAAAAACATTGAAACTCTAAAAAAATTTCTAACTATGGTTTTTTCAATGATTCAGCATAGAATATGACTCAACCCGCGACTTCTTCAATGAGAATTTGCACAACGTACCAAATTGCAAATATTGAACTTGGATTTTTTTTCAATTTGACACAAGTGATCTGGTTTGAAATTTTTACTCGTTGGTTTCAGCCTTTTTCTGTATTTTTTTAACATAGAATGTGGAATCACGACTGAAAAGGATTCAGTATCACTCGAGCTTGTATGGCTTTTGTTTATGGAAGGTACCTTTTATAAAGACCTTTATGAACGTTTCGATTGAGTGGTCTTAAGCCTGCGGACGATTAAAGAAGAGAACTCTGTTGCAACCCTGGTTAAGAATTACCAGCAATTTTTTGGTAGTTTTCGCAGGCTAAAGTTCAAGCAACGAGCACCGATCCTGGGGAGCGGTGGTTGAAGTGGTTTTGTCGCCGCTTTTCAAATGAAAGGTCGGATGTTCCAGTCCGACCATGATCCGAGCTCGTTGCTAGAGGCTAGGGCAATTTTACACAGCCCAGAAAAACAGCCAAAAAATTTGCATGTGATTCCTAAGCTGGGGCTTAACAGTGGTTCTCTGAGAACAGCTGAACAGCTCGTATGTTGGTCCTTTCTCTTGTAGACTAATCGTCTTAACAGTGGTTGTTCTCGATCTTTCGACTGAGAGGTGGAGACTTAGTGATTTAATCACTGCTGTAAGTCACTAGACTTCTGACAACAATTTTTGACTCTGTCATAACTTGTTGAAAACTGCTCAGGTAACCCACCTATGATTCTGTCTCCGAGACAGGCGATGTCCCAGTCCATCTCCCGCGGGTGTTTCTCACACTCGAACATCACCAGCGTCTTCAGGTGGTAGTTCTTGATAGGCTCATCTCTAAAATTATATCTTAATATCTTTAAATGAGTTTTCTTTGATTTGACAAAAAATAATTACTTTCTAATCAGCAGTAGCAAAGTTTTCTGAAGCAAGAAAAAAGTTATTCCGCTGCTATTCAAATAATACAACTTTATTTCAATTGTTGTAGTAAAAAATGAAAAAAAAATTTCTTCTTAATTTTGAAATTTTCGGGAAATGATTTGATTTCTAATATCTACAATAGACAATTGTGTTTAATTTGAGTAAACAGGTTAAGAGAGAATGAAACGATGGAGCCAAGGTTTCAATTTAATGCAAAAGTCATCGCAATTCGAACATTTACCTTAGATCCAAATTTCGATCCCGTAGAGTCTTCAGAATACTCAAGCAGGTTTTCCTACAGCCTCCAGAAAGTAAAATATTCTCAGCGTCATTGAAACAAAGCAGCCAAGCGTCGTTTTCTGAAGTCGGCGACTGTTTCCCCAGCACAAAATGAGGATTTTCGCGTGACAACATTGAGAAACCTTCATTTTTCACAGCGGCGACTACTTCGGAATGAGGCCAGTGAATTTGCGGCAACGGCCATTGAGCCGCGCTCCGCGGCCAAATTCCTGAACACTTGAAAGCTGGAATTAAAATTACACTAAATTTATCAAAAACTTGCAATTTAACTTCGCCGCTGTTCGAGTCTTGAAGAGCTTTAACTACTGTTGTTTTTTGTTGTTGATGTTGTTGCTGATTTTTCTCAACAGCTCGTAGAAGTAAAGTTTGGAACTTTGACCTCATTTTTCTGGATGAAAGATAACCAGAAGCGGTTATAAATTCGACCCAAAGAGACATTGACCTTTTCCGACCGTCACTCAACTTGAGAACGGCGCAGCCGGGAATCGAACCGTCGTCGACAAAATTGAAAACTCCCATTTGGTTAAGAAATAAAGTAATTTCAAATTCAGTTGATGAAACAACACGAAGACCTTCGTAAATTCCGTTTTCGTTTTGAACCAGAGAAGAAATATAGCGAGGCTCTTGGATTTCGACTTCTTTCAATATGGATGTTACAGTTTTCATAACATCTGAAATCGCTTTCCGGATTTTGGCGTTTCTGGTCATAACTTTCTCCTGGTAAAATTGATTCAACGGGTAAAGTAATCTAGTTTGATGATCAATTGACATTTCAATGTTTCGGAAAAAATACTAACTACTCAATTAAAAAATGAGAAAACTTGTGTTAAGTTTCTGTTTTGAAATTCAGTTTTAAATTTTCAATTATTTTTTTTTTCAACTTTTTGTTATCTCAGGCTATCACTACCTACGATTAGATTTTTTGAAATAAACTTATTTGGAAACCAGACCTTGATTGTAATTTCATAGCATGAAGAACAAGCCCCACTGATTGGCTCAATCATTCGACCAATCACGTTGCAGATTGTGAGGAAATGTAGTTCCTTTTAGTGTGTAACTTCCCGACCGGGTACAAAGGGTTAATTTACAAGCTGGGCTCTTTCACTGGTGACAACTCGATGGGAGGAAAATGTAAATAATGGGAAATGGATTGCGGATCTCCCATATCAAATAGCCCGCACCCTTTATCACATTCGGTTACTACTTAATTGAAAGCATCTTTGCCACTAATTAGGCTTCTCTTATGAAAAAGTAATTGGAAAAGGGTTTCATTAACTTGTGGAAATTAACCATATCCAGTTCGTTTTCTTTAAAAGATAATAAAAGTAGACGTAGGCTCTTTTTAAGGCACTAATGCACTAATTAGGCTCTTTTTTTTCTGGTCAAAAATCTTTTTGCTGCGAAAGTTTAAAACCTATAAAAAATATTGGGACCAAGTTGAAAACTTCCCCTCAAATCAGTTAAGGGGGTTGACATTAACTTTTGGTCCATAATTTCTTCTACATGAGAATTCGCAATTTGTTGAACATTTTTAAAATAAAAAATACAGGCTAGGACTTATTTAATAGAAATAACGCAACCTGTTGACTTATGTCCAAAAACATTCTTCTTATTATTGAATTACATCTGCCCGGGTTCCAGTTTTTCTTAACGCTCGCTTAAAAAAGAAATTTATAATGGACTGTTTTATAGAATGCATTAGCGACAACAATCGAGTTATGCATTCCCGTTGAGCACTATTTAGTTTTTCACATCTAGCGCCTGATTTCTTTAAAATAAAAGCAGTTGGATCTTGCTACCAACTAAACTTACCCCTTTCCCCCATTGTACCCAGCAACAAATATCCACCTCTATCATGAGCCCATGTTGCCATGTAGTTAGCAAGCAACATCCAATAGAGAGATTTTTATCTCAACAAGAAAAAAGTTTAAAACATCAAAAAATGTATTAAAATTTTTTGATTGTTAAAATGTTGCAAGTTTTTTTTTTTTTTTTTTTTTGTGAGGGGCGATTTAATAGGTCAAAAGCTACAAAGTTTAGAGGTAATAGCAGCCAACTTAATCAAAAATTCCATTATAATTAAGTTGAGAGTTCAGTGGAATTTGTAAATTTTTTGTCATATAGCCTGAAAAACTCCCCTACTTCTTTCTCGAAACAGATAACTCTTTTGAAATCGATTCATGGCTGAAACGGCTTTAACATGCGATATATCACTTTTCTTTCCACGGATTTTTTTCTTTTGTCAAAATCGGTTAGAAAAAAACGCAGGTTTTTATAATTATTTTAAGGTCAACTTTAGTAAATTGACAGGACCAATACAGGAGTAAAGTTGGACCATTATCTAGTTTTCTGATAATCTTGTGACACTTTCTTGTTTCTTCGAAATTCAATTTGGCAGACCTGTTTGCGAACATCCCCAGCAATGACGGAGACAGATTCTCTCTAAAAACAAAAAGAAGCTCATTTTCCCAATTTTTGGCCCTTATTTTGGTTTAAGTCAAATTTTCCTATATTTTTGGAAAAACATGCAATGAGTAGATTCTTAAAAAGCTTAATGCGGGTTGTTAACCGCGCATATAAGAATGAAAATTACAAAATTACTATAAACGTTCAGAACGACGTCATTTTTCAACGTCTTTTTGTTTCACATTGCTGGGTCTGCAGTTTAAATTTGGAAAATAGTATCATTGAGAAACTTCAAATGGTCTGATATTTTAAATTAGAAAGTGGATAAAGTGGATTTACTTAACATTTGAATTCATGTTAAATTTGATTCCGTGTTATTTTAATTGAGTTGTCGTGAATTTTGGGTAAATTGATCGGCTGTGGCTAATTAACCCTCGCCTTACTTCCACAAAATTGACATTTTTCCTTGTTAACAAAATCAACCCAGCGGCGCAACTTAAATGTTAAGAGTTTAAATCTAGACAAGATAATATAAAATAGTTTTAACTTAACTCTCAAGAATAGGTGACATAACTAAATAACCTTAACTGTAAACATGTTTCTTATTTGATTCTAAGTTATAAAATTTTACACATTAAGTTCATGAATAGGCCCGTTGTTTACTTTGCTTAACAGCGCGCTAATATCATTTTGATTTAAAAAATTGGTTTTTTGATGAGGAAGGTTGTTTAAATGGATTGGAATTTTTAAAATTCCTTGAGCAATTAAGTGTTTTGTTCAGTGCAGGCCTTTTCTAAGCCTCTTTGGAGCTAGTCTTCGAATCTATTCACAAGCTTTTATTTTCCAGGGTAGAATTAAATTTTTTTAGTAATCATTCGTTCTTTTTTCCAGTTTCATTTTTTGCATTTCCATCAAGAGTTTTCAAATCCTTTCGAAGAAATACTAATTGAGTGCTTGAAAACAGGTTCATCATACACGCATCGACATACAAACTATAAAGAACCAAAAAAGTACCTGAAATTCATTCAAATATTTCCCAGTCCGGTTTATATTTACTAACATTTATCAACTTATCCCTAATTTTCTCTTTTTTTTTCTGCAGGTATAAGGTTGCTTTTTAGACTCCCTTGACAATTGATTTATTTGACCTGTGAAATAATGTCTCCCTGCTAAATGTCAACTACTTGGGGGAGATTTTAATTACCTTTTCCCACAGCCGCGAGTGAGCAAGATTCAATTACATCAATCAACACATAAAAAATCAACACCCAAACTGGGTCGACTACAATTGTTTTGTGAAAACTGAAATAATAGAATTGAGCCAACAAACATAAAAAGTCAGGAAAAAATTATAGCTAATAAAAGGCAAAGTTACCCGACCCAAGTGCGGTGCAAATATCACATAATATTTCAAAACGAAATATCCTGAAAAAAATGAAAATATTTAAGAAAATTAATTTTTCTAATTATTAAGGTTTCAAACTTTATTTTTCAGTTTTTTTTATGCGTGATGAGAAGTCGCGAGATTCAACATAAAGTAACTTTCATAATGATAATAAATAAGGCAAGAGCTTAAAAACCCATCGGATATGAGTGATTTAATACATACACTTCCCCTGGAAAATCACCACTCAGTCTGGAAAACGAAAATATTCAGCCCAGTTTATTTTATGACAATATAGCTTATAAATTTTTTTGAAATTCAAATTACAATTGAAAGAGATCTGAGCAGAGGTGAATTTAGGGGTGGGTGGGGAGGGGTGTAGAATTGTTAAACTTTTTTTGGAGCAAGCGATTGTTGCCTAAATCCAGAAAAGCTTCCTCAACCGGATGACAGCGTCAGGGCTCGTTTTTTGCTCCAAACACTCGCAATAAGGGCGATGCATTCACATCCTAACTTGAGATTTGAAGAGGACTGAGCTTGGAATCAAACTGATACAGTGAAACTTTTCCGGATGGCATTTCATATCCCAGAAAAAGAAAAAAATTTTCAAAAATCAATCTCCAGGTTGATCAATGGGTAGGAAATCTACAAGTATAGACGTGGATGTCACAGAAAATCCAATTTAATTTGACATTTTTTGTTACCTTTTTCTTAAATCTTTTAGCTGAATTGCCGTTTTGTCATTGCCAGAAAATCAAAAATAGCTACATTACAAAATTGCGAAATTAAATTAAGTGAACACGGCACGTAAAGTTTTTTTTTGAAAGAAATGAAACTATTTTTTTTTTCATTTATGATTTTGTTTGTTTCTATTTTCTGGTCCTAATGTGCTTCAAATTAATCACAGAAATCAAGTTGTTTTCGTGGCATTTAAAATTAATTTTCAAAGAACTTTTTTTTCCGTACTGCAAAACTGGAAAAATCTAGAGTCGTAAATGGTCTGAAATTCATTTTTGCCGAGTTTTTAAGGAACTCAATACTCGAGTATCTATTTTACTATATAATGAGTTTTTTATAAAGATTTTCTCAGTATCAGAAGGACTGTCTATGACTTTCGCTTTTTTGAGTTATTTTCAGTTCGTTCTAACATTGGTAGGCGCAAATTACCAAATTATCAGGTAACCGTTTTATTGCTACAATTTTTGAGACCATGAATGAAAACCAATGCTTGTTAATTAATGCTTGTAAAGTTGAGTGACGCACAATACATCATTTTGTACTTTAAATAGCGTGTTTGCTGCCTAAAATTCTGAACCAAATCCAAGTTTTTCTCTAGCTATCATGTTTTCAGGTTTTATTTGTCAGAATTGATTTAAAAAAGACATCGAAGGGTTCTGAGAATTTTCAAGTTTTAACCTAACTCGAGCGCTCTTGTTTTTCTTCAGGTTACTACGAGTTTTTAAAGTTTAATTCAGTAATGAAAATATTAGTGTCAAAAAACTTTGTTTCTGAAACTGTCTAAATTTGGCACAACGCAACCAAATTTGGATTTTTTGTAAAGTCAGATTTAAAAGATTTTTTTTTCGAACTAGTGTTCTCTGATAAAATTTTGATGTATATTTTATGAAACACTAGTTTCAAAAAATTCTTGTTAGTGTCTCAAAGCCCGTTAAAAAGAAAATAAAAACCAACTGATTGTGTTTTTGCAAAAGTAGAAAAAACTGCTCATAATAGAGCAAAATTTTAAAAATCTGACAGCCCTTTAACTTGACTCGAATTATGCTCAGGACAGATTGCGCTAAGTTATGATCTACGAAACTCCTCCCCCGACCATCGTTTCCTCTATTGTCTCTGAACTTCTAAGACAATCGTCCTCGGGGAAAAACAGCGGCAGCGGTTTCTCAAACCACCAAGATAGATTGCGCAAAATTATGATCTGCAAAACTCCTCCTCTGATTGCCATTTTCACTATTGATTCTGGACATGTCAAAAAATTGTAATTACGGGAAAATACAACAAAAAGGGTAGTTACAAAAGGCTAACATAGATTGCGCAAAATTTGATCTACACTAATTTTCCTCTTCCGATCAATGTTTCCTCTATTGATTCTGGATTTGCAAGAGAAATATCAAGTTGATAAAAATAACATTAATGATTATCATGAAACGATTGATTGCG